TCATCACTTTTATCTTCAGTTGGGGCATGTGCACAAATAAGGCTATAGTTAAAAAACTTTCCCTTAATTCGTAGCCTACATGTTCTGTGAGATTTTGCCTGGAAGTCTAAAATAAGATGCTTCCTTTTTTTATTAACAATAAAACCTGTTCCAAACATGTGACTCTTCTTCTGACAACTATAGAATACAACATGCCGGACAGGTCAAGGGGTAGGAACCAGAGAGGGATACCCTGGTCCTCCAGGTTGGGGGTTGGGAGTGAGGCTAACGACCTCACACTGTAAAAACTAAATTGTTCAGAAATCCGAGGAAAGAGTAGCCGGACGGACCTATTCAAGATGACCTGGAAAATGTTTAAAGGATTTGAGAATTGGATCTTGGAATGTATTATCTCTTTACAGAGCCGGAGGACTAAAAATGCTACTTCAACAACTAGATAGCCATAAACTAGATATCACTGCTATACAAGAACTGAGGTGGTTGGGTAAATTGTAATTAGAATAAAAACATGGGGGGAAAGTGATTCTGATGGGAAAGCCATAAGGAAAGAGACCACTAGGAAGATCTTAATGTAGGTGGCTTGATAATACTAAAACAAATATCAAATAAACAGGGTGGGGTGGAATGGTCTGGGCTGATCTGGATCAAGATACAGACTAGTGGTGGGCCCTTGTAAACATTGTGGAAACCTTAAGGTTTTGGGAAATTCGTGGGTAACTGAGGAACTGGTAGCTTCATAAGGACTCAGCTCCACGGTATTCGAGCATAAAAATAAGTGATAAAACAACACTTACCTTAAATCCAAATCTTCTACGTTGCTGTCTGAAGTTATAAATCCAACACGACCCCAAATGGATACAAAACACCAGAAATTACACAGTTCGAATCCTGATTATTTGTCATACTGTAAAAGTAGGCATGAAATTTAAAACAGATATAATTTGACAATCACCATTACTAGACTGCGGAATGCAACCACAAACTAGTGTTTGGAAATTTCATTGGCGCGAAGTAATTATTCCTTGCATTATATCTCACTTAAAATGGATATTTAAAGTGCATCGTATAATCTCAAGAAACTTATTGTATATATGGCGGTAAATAAAAACGAACGTCCATAAGGGCAATGCGCGAGACAACCTACGAATACAAACACTGAGCATTCAAATGACGATACCGCCATTTTAATTGTATAAATAACACACAGCCATTGGTCAGCCATCTAATTCCACCGATTCATATTGTGCCTGATCGTGTCACGTGTCCATCGTGCCCATCGTGCCTGTACATTCTGCAGAATCTTGCTTCACGTCCTGAAAACTCGAAAGGGTAACAACCACAAGCACAAGCTGCGCTTTTGTCGACTGCCATCTATGAACAGCGTTCATTCTGATAGCATTACACCTATCTTATTCGTCTGAACCAATTATACACAATTATCAATTTTGCCAGGACGTTCATGTTCATATGATCTTAATCCTTGTGACTTTTTTCTTCTGTGGTGGTTTGAAGGGCAAAGTATACAACAGTAACCCCCACCCCCAAAAAATTAATATTCGTAGAGAAATTTAAAATATTTCTGTAGAACAGTTTCATAGGGTAAATCAACCGGTGAGAGTAATGTCTACATGTAGAGAGACACCATTTTCAACACCTTATATGGTCTGTGAATTGTAACTACTTCAAACTGAACATATCAAAAAGTACAAGTCGAATGCCCATCAGTAAAGCTCTATGATACAGTCATCAGTTATACAGAACATACAAAATTTTTGGGAGTTTAGTTGGATAAGAATCTAAGGTGGACTGTACATACTCAAGAACTAGCAAATAAATTATGTAAAATATGTTTTGCCTTACAAGTATTCAAAAGAATGTCAGGGTTAGAGACTGTTCGCACCTTATATTATGCTTATTTTCAATCCTTGTTTTATATGGATTGATATTTTGGGGCAATTCAGGAAATGCAAACTTGATCTTTAGGTTGCAGAAGAGAGCTATTAGAGCTATGATACAAATCCCAAAAACCATTAGTTGTAAACAATATTTTAAATCGTTACATATATTACCTTTACCATGTCTGTATATATATGAAATTCTAGTTTACATAAAAACCAATTTGAATGTTTTCATAACCAATTCAGGAATACACTTGCACAATACAAGGAGAAAAGAGGACTTGTTCATAGTGCCATGTAATATGAGTCTATACAAAAACAATTTCAATAATATTGTACTTCGTATAGTAAATCAGTTTCCACAATATATTAAAGAGATACCAGTACTATACAAGTTTAAAAATACTTTGAAAACATTCCTACTTGATCATTATTTCTATAGTATAGATGAGTTTCTCTTCTTTGGGGACAAATCCTAGTTCTAATAGCTTGTAAACATATATTTCAAGAATAATTAACTTGTAGATTTTAATATTAGTAATGTTACAGGAATGCCTACTGCCCTACTCTGTATTTTTTCTTACAGGAACGAGATTGAGGATACCAGGGTATTATGTGCCGGGATAGAAGGATCGGGTCTTGAGGCATACAGCGGTGTTGTGTGTTAAACAATTATATTAGTTCTATTATTAGAATCATCATTGTATTATCTTAGTATATTATTATTATTTTATTCTTATTTATTATTGTAAAGTATTTGACTTGTCCTATATCATGTATAATGATCCATGGATATGAAGTAAATAAATAAATAAATAATTCATTGAAAAAATTCGCATGCACCTCTCTGCTAACGCCACGACATATACAGGTCTCCGTGATCCAATGAACATAGATAAGAACCTCCCTACATTTAAAATAATTGCATGGAAGTAAGTCTGTATTTGTATTATGACATGTTCTGCATCCTCTGGTTTGGCCCAAAGAAGGATCTATGGAATACTTAGAAACTTAAACTGTACCATGATTGTTACAATTTTTGTATTGCGCTACAAAATGGAGCGCAGAATGATATGCTCTGCCTTGGGAGCAATCCAACGCAAAAGGCAGGAGGAGTTACTATTCTTCTGCTTTCCCAGGAATTCAGCATGATATTGTCGTATGTTAGGGATGTGACTATAGATGGGGTTTGGATTGGTGAATGGATTTGTTGGCCAGTTATACACATGACTTTGGACTGCAAGAAATTATAGCGCTATTACTGATCTACACACTTTATAAATCACTAGAGCACATACTAGGTTTTCCCTAACTTCTTTCACTAGTCATTTCCTTGTAATGGATCTTAACAATGGAGATTCTTCAGCTTCTGTGATCATGCCGTTGTCTGCTGGTTAACACTCCACAACTGAACTCAACTCGACTCTGTTCTATCCTGCTCTATGAGGAAGAGGAGGAAGAAGGGGGGGGGTAAGAAACTATATCTCCGATTTTAAAGGTTTCTAGGCAGTGTCCGCTTGTCCTTCTAGTATAGGTAGAGCAGGCATATCCAACACATCGATTGCGGTACGATTTTTGGTCGATCTCATAGGCCTATAAGGAAATTATACCTGAAAAGCATGTAAATTCATGTGAAAATTGCTTTACACTTGTGTTAAGTGTGGGGAGTCCCTACTCTATCCTTATCACGTGAACACTTATTTCATCACTTGTCAGCTGCGTGTGTTCTGATGCAAGAGTGATCGACAGAACATGTGATTCACTTCGTTCCCTCCCTCCAGTCAACTGTGAATCCCCATACATTGAACAAACAAGCGAGATGTAATATTATATTAGCTGTTAGTGGAGATTTGTCGCTTTGCTGTGCATTAAACAAATATAGAGTTTGGGGATGAGCTCAGTGTAATCAAAGGGACAGTAAATGCTCTGCCCACGTTATTTTATTAATTTAGAAAGCGTCTGTGTGTGTGTGTGTGTCAGATAAAACAGTTGCCTCAATATAGTGGAAAATGCAACGCCTCGGTATCCTTGTCAAAAAAGGGTAATCTGGAACGTCATTATAATGCTCTCCATGCTGATTTTCCACCGAAAAGTGAAATTCGTAAACTTAAGCTCAAAGAACTTAAATCGAAATTAGCTGCTCAGCAACAGTTGATGGCAAAACCAAGGTCACTTTCTAACAATGCAACCAAATCATCCTTCAAGGTCAGCAATCTGATCATTAAAAAATGCAAACCTTTCACTGAAGGGGAATTTGTAAAAGAGTGTATTCTTGAAATAGCTGATAATCTTTTTGAAGGATTTAAAAATAAGAATGAGATCATAGCTACTATTCAAGATCTTCAATTATCAAGAAACACCATTGTGTGGCAACTAGAAATGTGTGGAAACATAACTGAACAGTTGTTGAAAGATGTTTCCAATTGTGTTGCTTTCTCCCTCCAATTGGATGAATCTACAGACATCAGAGACACAGCCCAGTCACTAGTTTCTATTCGGATGGTTTTTGAAGATTTCAGCATCAGAGAAGAACTACTTGGAATGATTTCTTTAAAATGTAGAACTACAGGTCAGGAAATATTTAATTCTTTCTAGTCTTCTGTCACAAAGTCTAATGTTCCATTACATAAACTTGTTTCCATTAATATTGATGGGGCAAAATCAATGACAGGTCAGGTTAATGGTTTTATTGCCCTCCGTAGACAGCATGACGACTTCCCTGATTTCCTTTCTTACCACTGGATCATTCACCAGTAAGTTTTGGAAAGCAGGAGACTCAATGCAAAGACTGTTATAGACATAGCTTTTAAAATTGTAAATTCAATTTGTGGTAAATCACTTCAAAAACGGCTTTTCAATCTAACTCTTGAGGAAGGGACACTGGATATCATTTTGCACACAGATGTAAGGTGGCTGAGTAGGTACAAATTTTTGCAGAGATTTCGTAGTTTGCTGAGTGAAATAAACAGTTTTTGAAGGAGAGGGGAGATGAGATGGTTGATCGGTGTGGCCGTGGGTGAACTGGGAGTTTCAATCATCTGGTTACCTGTAAAGAGATCTTAGAGCTGATTATCGTGCAAAGGGATAAGGGACGCAGATGTTTATCACCGGTGGGATCGTAGTGTCCTAGTGTCTGAATCCGACTGCTTACACTGGTTACCGACTTCTGATACAATGTCCTCACTCACCTCTTGAAATTACTTTTTATTGACATTCCCATCTGTTCGTGTAAGGTTATTATTATTATTATTCATGATGTAATAGTTTTATTGTTTGTTGCTTAATCATTGTTGCTACTGTTACCATCGTGATAATTTAATTCCTATGGTACCAATCACATTAATTCAGTTTTGGTTTCCTAACTTTAAGTAACCCATTACAAGGAACACTATATGAAATTTACTCAGAAACTAAAGACATGTTCCCTTCAGAATACATGAAGCCCAGCTTCCTATTATATTCTAGTCCTAAATATCTTTTGTTGTTAATGTAGTGGTTAAATATTATAAATTTATAATGAAACCAACAATTAAGTTTGACCTATGTCTGCATTAACTTTCTTAGACATGGTCCCATAATTTAATACCTTCACCATGCTTTTGATATTGGCTGATGAAGAATTATTTCTAGCTTTCAGACAATATGTTTTACTTTTACAGGACCTTGGTATGGACAGGGAAAGTTTGAATATCCTGCATTATTAATTCTGCTAGAATGCTGCACGACATTACACTATGTTATTTCATTACTGTGGTTACAATATTCCATTTGGTATTAAACTTGTAAATATGAGTATATTTTCAGATTCATAAGGTTCATCCTAGTTCTGCAATTGTTTTATTGCTTTTTATATATTATTAAATTCAATATTTACCTTGTTAACAAGACTCTTTCAGATTCCTGAGTTTCATCATATTACTGCAATTAATATATGTGGAAACCTTGTAATATATTGTCACATGCTGCCTATGTAACACAAGAAATAAATTCACAAAGGTCTCAAATTTAGCAAATATGTTTATTGGCCTATCTCCTCTACACTTACAAGTACAATTATTCACAATCACAGTTACTGCCTCGAAGCCAATTGAAGACTGACTACTCTTCTAAGATCAGCTACAAACTGAACTCGTCTCTTGTTGAAGCTGGAGTTTTATAACTTCCACACAGACTCGATAGGGAATGCTACACCCGTCCCCACACGCTTCACTTCGACGCGGTGTATGCCTCGACTAAATTCAGCGGAATGAGTCTTATATCCCAGGGGTACACGGGTGTTGGCTCGCTTACGTCGTTTTTTTGGATGCGGGCTCGATCGGTTAACCCCCTAGCACAGGTTCCACATGAACACCCTCACTCCCTGGCCTCTACCCACTAACTCACCCCTTACCCCCGCTGCTGCTTCCAGAAACCACGTTCTTAGCCATCTCGAACTTTCCACTGGGAGGTTTTCATGACCAAATACACGGACCCCTTCCGGTCTGCACACCTTCTAGAAGTTTCTCGAAGCTTCGATCCACAGGTCCTCCACCCCCACAGGCATGGACGGAAGAAGGTATACCTACTCCCCCTTGAATGCAATGGACTCACCAACCTCCCTTCAGTCCCTCGCAACAAAAGGCCAGTTCAGAGGACCATGAACCCTCCGGGGCATCTCACTTCCACAGCCAAACCCAATCGCCAGGCATAAACAGATAAGATACCTCCACGAAGGGTGCGTACGGCTACAATACCATCTTGAAGGGTTCATTCTACTCGCTGCTATCGAAACGTTGCTTTAACAATTCATGTGTAACGGTGGAAAATGTTAGGATGTTAGTCACTGTATAGCAATGGATGCGTTCCGATGTAGCAGGAACGTTGGTCATTGTCTAGGAAATCAACTCTGATCTCAACCATTCCAGTTTTCTGGCATATCACATTATATATGTAATTTATAATACATTAATGTAACTGAAGATCATGTTTTAAATAGCATTCAGGTGTAATTCATATGCTCTGCATCCTCTTGTGTATGCCTCGACTAAATGACTAATGACCAAAACATGTAGCACATAACAAACATCTCAATAAACTGATTTTATCAACATTCGAGTCCATCAGTTATTCGCTGGAATGTAGAATTGTGACTGATGGACAAATTTATATAGTATAATTCAGGTGTATGTTGTGAACAAAGTTATGAGGTTGAATACAGTTATCTCTGATGGAAACAGATGTTTCATTCAAGTTTACCCAACTTCAGCTTCTCTATACACTTATGAATATGTCTTCTGTGAATGTTATAGACCACAATGTCCAGTGCATTTCAGTAAGGGTGTGCTGGACTGATGTAAATGAAGTTTCGACTGCTGAGAAACTTTCTCCTGATAGATGAGTGAAGTGTTATTACTCAGACACACTTCTAAGAACGACTGCAGTACAAGAGATCATGAATGCAAAATTATTCATGGATATGTGAACTCTGGATTCAGGAGGCTTAGTACCCTTTATACAGCCTGCGCTCTTGGCAGTGGATGCAGACATTTTGCAGAGACAGCCTGAAAGTTGCAAATAGATAGCAGCATAATGTATAATTTGTGATATCATAGTGGTTGCGTTACCACCATACTCACTGTCATAGTGATCCTTCACAGCTGCTGTGCTTCACCATTACAAAGTATACAAATGAAATGGAGGATGATACTAGTAGTCACGATTCTAGGAGTCACTTTGTCTCTTTCTGCAGGTTCTTGTAAACGAACCATCGAATTCCATAAAAGGGGGCTAATTTCTTCATTAACTGCGCAATTACTAGTTCCCCAAGGACGATATGGGTTATTTCCTACTACACAAAGATTTAATATAAAAATTAAATTTTGTGGAATAGCTTACATGTATATATAGATCTCTATATTTTTTAACTGATCATTACCTACTGGCCTAATTCGTAAATATTAAGACTTAGGACTTATTTTTTTATTGCTAGTGGGGTGGGACTAAGTCCCTTGTACTGCAGCCACTTCTGGCCTATTGTACCAGCCCCACATGATAGGTGAGGGTGATTGTGGAGTAATTGGTGGAATGAAGATTGGCAGGGGAAACCGAAGTACTCGGAGAAAACCTGCCCCAGCTCCACTTTGTCCACCACAAATCCCACTTGACCAGACCCGGGATCGAACCCAGGCTGCCATTGTGGGAAGCCAGTGACTAACCACTTGAGCTATGGCGCAGCCTCAAGACTTAGGACTTAATACCAATCTTGTACTAAATGTGACTTATACTCAATTTTGCATTAACTATTCTAAGAATTAGTGGTGAGGAATGTTTAGATAAGAGCTACTAGAACAATCTTTGATAGCCAGTGTGGCATGTGAACCACTTACTCTTCCCACCAGCTCAATTAAAGAAACTTCCAGAACATTCTCAATTTGTGGAACAGTGTGGAAGCTTCAAGAAAAATCCTGATGCAGAAAATTCTGAAGTATTGTGTCATCCAAGAGTATTTAAAGGACTGATTTCAGATGGCAAGGGGCAGATCATCAGAGTATCACATTCAGTATGTGTATATACAGCATCAATAGTCTAGTAGTATTCAATACAACCACTGGGTGTCGTGTACAGTTGTGTACCAGAACAGATTTATCTGTGACATAAAGTGACTGACTGGTAAAATCATGTAGTGTTGTCAAATAAATCAAGTACATTATTTCATCAGTAAAGTGTGATCCAGAGACTTCTTCCATAAACCCTCTCTTGTCGGAGCAAGGTCCATTAATCTCTGAAGAAAATCTCACGCTCACACCCTGAACGCTGTTCTCTTTTCTTGCCTTCAAGTCCTTCGACTTGGTTCTAACACCACTTGGCATTCATAACTACACCCGAGGCAACGTCATTGAGGGCGAGAAAGAAGTACTACTATAATGTGTACACTGTATATTCCTTCCATTTAAAATATTACAAACTCTCAAAGCACCAGACATAACCACCAAAGCCAACTGGTATTCATTATATTATACCTACTATACCAAATGAAAAAGTAATCGGAGAACTGATCTAGATACCAGGGCACACATGTATAACACACAACGAAGAAGTGGACATACTAGCTAAAAAAAGAAATTAAAATGAAAACAATCATAAATGTGCAGTACCATCCTACAGCCAATTATATGTTATCTAAACACATATAAGAAGGAGTGGCAGAATAACTTGGAGCAAATAAAGCTAATACCCTCAAACTTTACAGAAAAGTTCAACCATATGTGCATACAAAACCACAGTACAATAAATATATAATCTCCTGATCAGTTATTAGGGCTATAATAGAGCTCAGAATGCAAAAAGGATATCATAATCCATAAATAAATCCATGCATAAGTTAACTTTATAATACAAATTTATGTGAATGTGGAATTAGGGATATTTTAACACGTAAAGCCATTGATATGCAAAATAAATACTTGCATGATCATGTTCTAAAATAATGCTTTGATATATCTTCAACTCAGGATCTGAACCAGTATTTCATAGTCATAAATGGTATCAAAATGGCCCGTATTTTATAGAGCATTTTAGTATATTTCATATCACATGTTAAGTAAACATTGAATTGTGTAGAGTGTCTAACTCTGCCTCTCGCTGTTTTGCTCTTAGTTTCTCTTTCCTGTACATTTCATACTCTTCGTCATCAGTTGGTAGTTCATGACGACACAGAGGACAAGAGTTGGTCTGCAACAAAGAAACACATGAAGTGGTTGTTGAAATTAAAATTATTTCTTCCTGCAGAACTGAATGGCCTCACTGAAATCTTTAAAATTTCCCTTATGAAAAAGATGTAAGGATGATAAACCAATTATAGTAACATACCAATAAAATTAACAAAAGATTTAGAATAAGTTTGATTTACAAAATACTTTCAATCACCATCCAGCTCTCTACACAAATATCTACTAATTCATGTCACACAGGCACATACGTGGGGCAATCCAAAAGTTACCGAAATTTGAATTTTGCGCGCGAATGGTAATGAGTACATCAAAATACCGCTAGGTGTCTCCTCACACATCCTTTTTGAATCAGTGTGGCAAGCGGCGTCGAGTTGAGTGGTTGGGTTTATTGTTGGTGAACGTATTTCCATTGTTGTGTTTCCGTGAGTTTGCGGTTTTGCGATGGCTGACCTGGAGAGCAGCGTGTCTGTTGTGTCACTTTACCTACATGCCTCATAGAATACCTGGACTCCCCCCCTACACACAGGTCCAAAAGACCACTCAGCAAATGCAGAAGACCGAGGTCACTCCAGCAATCAAAAGCACCTTCTCAGAGGATCCTATGCATATAAAGCTATAAAATTTACACAAAAGCAGTTTGGTCTGAATGAGTTCAGCTGCAGCATAGCACAGATATCATTGTGGGAACCTCCCACAGTTAAACAGACAACTCAATTCCCACAGTGCAGCAAGCGCAGCTTGCAACCTGGCTGTCTGTACTGCCACACAAGCGCTCCCTAATTACCAATCACCATAGCAGCTCCAACATCCATTCGTTTGCGCATCGCCTAGCAGCAAAAGTATAAAGATGCGGGCCTCCGACACAGTAGCAGCAGCCACATCAGTCACCGCTAGGTTTGCATCAAGAGATCACAGCAGCAGGAACTCTACTAGTAACAGCACTGCAGCTGACTCTGCTTGCACACACATGGTAGGCCCGCCAACCAGCCAGCCAGCCAGTCTCGCCACTATCCTGCCGGTTCACAATCACTGGGCCATAGCAAAGAAGTAACATCAGACTGCTACAAGGAAGCATGCCACACTGGCTGGCTCACCACAACAAAGGCTTCATTCTAGCCCTTGCTGACCCACTGCACCAAGAGCGTCACTGGCCAGCCAGTCTCGCCGATAGGAGCATCTACTAGCTGCTCCTGCAAGAGTTTCATCCGGCTTCAGAAAACGGCCCTGTTGGGGGTCTCCAATACCACCAGCATCACTAGCCCAGGCTAGCCCACTATGAAGGCAGTCTCCACCAGTATTATTCAGATGTGCTCCCTGCTCATCTGTAATACCCACTTTAAGAGCGATAAACATTTGTTGTTATAGTTTTATGTGGTTGTCTCTGCCAGCATCGACATCCCACATCATTAGACAATCCAAATGCAGCGGACAAGAGTTAGTGAACTCGGTGCAAAGCAGATTAGCATTTAGTTAGTCAGTGCAGTCCACTAGTTAAGTCCATTAGCGAATTCAAGAACTACGTCAGCTTCCAGTTCAGTTCATTTCAGTTCAGTGGCAAGAAAGAAAAGGAGAGCGCATGATTAAGCAGTAACATTACAAATGAAGTAATTACTGGGCAAAGAACTGACATCAAGAGCATAAGTGGCTATTGATGGGGAGCCAGTATCTATTCCAAATAACAATAAAGGCTACAATATTTAATGAAGTATTCATTTGTGTACAATATAATATTCCATATTTACTCCTCCTTGTGCAGAACCCTGTCAGGCCGGTCCCTTCTATTCATAAGATTTCTAGTTTCACCGTGCAGCACAGTTCCAGTAATAATTTAGCATAAGCAGACAGAATAAAATTTCCACGGCCAAAAGTCCTTCCTGACTTAGCAACCGTCACTGACCAACCAGTTTTATAATACACGCCTGTGGTGCTGTCAAAAGTCACCCTCCCCCCAAAATGTATTTACAATTTAAATGTGTTTTACTACATTTTATTATGTTTGAAGGAACATGGGGGCTTTTAGTTTCACTATATTAAAGTGTGCAGGTGTCTATATGTTTACTGTCAAAAGTTTGTATCTGTTATTAGCAATGTAATTTATTTGTGTCTTGCAGTATGTCTCAGCACTTATCACTGAAGAACATATGTACCAGCCAACTACATAGGTTTTCTGATTTGTCCACTTTTATTTTATTTCTCAGTCTGCTGTAGTACAAATCACATGCCTGCACCATACACACACAAATCAATTTGCTGTACCGGTACATTCAATATTTATAACCCATCTTTCTTTTCTTCACAGATACCATTTAAAACTTACAGATTTATTAATCATTCTAATGTGAAAAAGAGAACTGATACCAGAGTTTGGAAAGAGGACTACTTCCTGTGTATAAAATTCTATTGCCTAGTTTTCTCCATGTTGCCAGCTCTGGTCTCGCTGCCAGGTAACCATAACTATATTTATAGCATACAGATGACCCTCTTCTACTGATTCATAAGTGTTTTAATCATGAAGTGATCACCATGTGGTACAACAGCAATAATTGTAATATAGAAACTGTTTCATTATTTCAGTACAATTTACTTTAAGAAAAACCTTGGCCAGGCACAGGTAGTTTTCTTAATATTTCATATTCATGAAAAATCGGTATTACACTTACTCTTTGTAACCATGGCAACAAACATGATGAATGAAAGGAATGTTTGCATGGCATCACTTTTGCACTTTCTCCAATGGTATATTCTTTCAAACATACAGGACACTGTTCACCTGTTACAAAAACATCATCAGTCTTACTAGGAGAATCATAAACCGTACTTGAACTCGTTTAAAAGATATACTAGAAATCTTTCTATGCCCTTTCACAACTCACACTTTTACTCTTCTAATTTATGAAACTGAAGGTGGAAATTAGATAAAGAATCCCAAAACCAAATCCAACAAGTCAAACTAAACTTCTCACATGCAGAAAACCCATAACCATACATAATTCACAGTGAGTCATACCATCCACATGAACATCAAATACCAAGCATCAATTAATAAATAGACTACATAAACCCAATATCAAATAAGACAAAAATTTCAAGACAAAACCATAATCATTAAGCAATACCCCAACATACCTCACACCAAAGGCTGCACCATAGCTCAAGTGGTTAGTCGCTGGCTTCCCACCACGGCGGCCCAGGTTCGATCCCGGGTCTGGTCAAGTTGGATTTGTGGTGGACAAAATAGCGCTGGGGCAAGTTTCTTCCGAGTACTTCGGTTTCCCTACCAATCTTCATTCCATCAATTGCTCCACAATCACCCTCACCTATCAACTGGGGCTGGTACTATAGGCCAGAAGTTGCCGCAGTACAGGGACTTAGTGTCCCACCCCACTAGCATTAAAAAATTACATTTCACCAAATATACAAATAGGCACTCTCTTCAATTCAGGAACACACACTACTAGCAAAAAAAACCAAAATCACCAGCAGATGAATATAGCCAAAGCGATAAACCTTAACTCAGATGTCTAGATTGCCCACTAAGGTATATTGGAAAAATAGGACAGGCCTTTAACACGACACTTAATGAATATATCCACAGTCAACTGGCAATAACAATGTTGATTGAAAACACTATCATCATATATTAAATACACAACAAATGGCGAAGTAACCAACATCATGGACATCACAAAGTGGCAAAAGAGAAGACACACTTAAATAGTCTAAAGACAGGTTATCACATTTACCTAATCAGCAATAGTAATCTTCATAAGAAAAACACCTACATCCGGGCCTGCACAAATTTTCTATAACTCCATAAACAAGTAACCAGAATAGAAAACAAAATACCTCAGGTGAACAATCTGATGGTTTTCATTAATGTATGAACACCAAACATTTACATAGGCATATACATAGTATACAGTTAGTTCTTTAAAGAGGTATTTTGTTTTCTATTCTGGTTTCTTGTTTATGGAGGTGGCTCCTGGAGTTATAGAAAATGTGTACCCTTCCAGGATGAGAGTAAATGTGAACTATCTTCTGCTGTAGCTCAGATACAGGGCAGGGAGTGATGACAGCATGTACAACCAAAACTGAAGGAGAAAGAATACCAGAGAAGGGAAGTAAATAAAGGAACAAAGAAACAAAGGAAGAACTGGAGTGAAGGAAATAAAAACATGAAAGGAAGAGATGGAGTGAAGGGGGAGAGGAAGATGTCATAACAAAGATATAAACAGAATGGGAAAACAATAAGGGAGAAAGGAGGGAAGGAATTAAAGATAAAAGAGGGATAAAGAGGAAATAAAAGATTTTCACTGTGATAAGTGATGAATCATGCACTAGCTGTAGATGAAAGAAAATTCTAGACAATATGAAAATTTTAGGTGCCATGGTGACCCACAGCCTGAAATTTGTGCAGGCCGATATTCAAAACACTACATTAATTCATAATCACCTGATAACAGCACACGCATACTCCATAAAACACACACATTACTCATAATGTCTATGCTCCATACAGACAACACTTGAACATAAGTAACACATACATATATTATTCACAATGACAAACTTAAACCCTGTGAGAAAAACTAACAGTATTATGTTTCAGCCATAATACCAAGTTGCAATAGAAAAAGACCGTAAAACCTTACTAAAACAACAGATGACAGCCCTATTAGAAAATCATACCATGTTAACCAAGAGAGAAGCAACCCACATCATTCCATCAAATTCACCATAAGCATGTGGGAACATCCCACATATCATATTTCTACAGCACCCACTTTCCCGCTCGCTTTTCACCATCACTCGCCCTAGCCAATCACGTTGGCAGAGCACTGATTGGCTAGCGCATGTAATGATCTGGATGTGGGCTAGACAGCAAGTGCTGTATAAATGCGAGCGTTGGAAGCAACGTGATTGGCTAGGGTGAGTGATGGTGAAATGTGAGCAGGAAAGTGGGTGCTATGATATGTGGGATGTTCCCACATCACTCCCCCCCTCGCGAGAATTGATGCTCATAAGTTCAGGCGAGCGGGGAAATGGATGTGGAGCCCGGAGCATGTAGTCCCTGTAGGGAACTGTGCACAAAAGTAGCTGGGGCTTGCTGGCGGTCCTGCAGAGAGCTGATTGGCTAGCACATATAATGATCTGGATGTGGGCTAGACAGCAAGTGCTGTATAAATGCTGAGCGTTGGAAGCAATGTGATTGGCTAGGGCGAGTGATGGTGAAAAGTGAGCGGGAAAGTGGGTGCTGTATAAATATGATATGTGGGATGTTCCCACAAGCATTATCACCAGTACAGGTACAATAGGACATGTGGAAGCTGACATGCCAGCGGGACCTAATATGGATTCCACCTTACACTATATGAAATCTTAACTATTGTAATCTACTGTAATCTATTGTAAACAATTTTAAGTATTGTAACTTTATTGTCTTATTGTAATCAGCCAATGTACAGTAATAACAAACATTTTAATATTAAATTCAATATCAACTTTAATTATAACTTCAACTTTAGCTTTAATTTCAAATAAATTATTATGTTAGTCAAACAAAAATTCACTGCACTGGAAACTTCACTAAACTGAAAAAAAAAAAAAAAACTTTCTATATGGCTTTCAATAAATCTGAATGCATTCAGAACATATACACCATTATTTTAAACCCATTTCCTTCCTATTCTATTCCATTTGAACAGTTCTAGAAGCATTAGCACAGCAAAAGGCACAGTGCTCATTTCAGTTAAATGACTGACAGATTGTTACTAAAAATATGGTAAGAATCACGAAGGCTCAACAAAACGAGAATTATCCTTTTAAACATTGTAGCTAAACTGTGGGGAGTTAAACTCTAGAACTTCAGCCTCTACCTGTCATTTATCACATCATGCAATTGTACTGAAATTCTTCAAAACACTTAAACAGAGAAGGGATAAACAAATAGAGAATGCCTATACAAAGATTTAATTTCTAATTACCAATTAATATTATGCATCTGAATGAACACACAGTCTGTAATAAATTTAAAATATTTCTTAATGTAATTTAATATTGAACATATATACACACACACATCCATGGCTACAAATATTTACCTGACACTGTAATTTCCTTTTCCTTCAAGTTCAAAATGGAAGCCTTTGAGGCAGAAGGTGGCAGCTTGTGCCCATGGCCCAACTCTTCCCACATTCCAAAATCCCTAAGCAGTCTTGCCAAATGTAAAAGATGGTCTGGTGTTTGTCCTTGGCCCAAAGGCTTCCAGCCCATTTCTTCAAAATAATCTGCCATGACAGCTATAAAACACACCTGAAAACAGATAAATTATAAAAAAAGCTTAGGAATACACAAAGTCCACCATAACACTACACAATTAAGTTACAAATTCAACAAACAACATATCAAAACATAATGCTGCTATGAGAAAGACTCTGGACTTGAAACTTACAGGAACTTCTGTATTATAAATTGTTTGGAGGTGTTAATAATGATTACATGAACTTTATACATATCATTTAAAGGAACTTCTGTATTATAAATTGTTTGGAAGTTTTAATAATGATTAGGCTAACTTTATACATATTATTTAACAATGCTATATCAGCTTCCGAAGTTCAAATATTCAAGAATGGCAGTAACACATAAAAATTAAATGCACAAAGACAATAGGAGCAGATCAAATTAAGGAAATATGCGCTACCACACAGTCCAAAGTCTTGTATTCTTCCATCTCCTATTTACAAATGTAAATATTAAAAGATACAGAATCATACTTTTATCTCTTGTTCTTTATGGATGTAGAACTTGATTTCTCACTCTAAAAAAGAACACAGATTGTGTCTGAGAATATGGTACTGATGAGATTGAACCTAAGAAAGCGGAAGTAACGGGACTCAGAAAAAATAAGAGTTCAAATTTGTATTCTTTATTGAATATTCTTATGGTGACCAGATCAAGGAGGGTAGAGTGTGTGGGACAGGTAGCATGCAGTATGGGAGAAATACCTTTAGAATGGATATATTCCTGTACTAAATTATAAAACATGACATGTAGATATCAAACAGGTTCATCTATCAGCAATGCCCTGAACTTATATTTAGAAGACACTCTGTTTGAACTGCAGTGGGGACACTGGTTATCCTGAGGTTCTCTGTGATTTTTCTCAGTCCCGCTTGGAAAATGACAGGACAGCAACTCAACCAGCTGCTTCCTTCAACATAATTTCCAAGTCATCCATCACTTTAACATTCAAAGCTCTGCAGCCCAGCTACGGACAGCATCATTAAACAGCACACAAATATCTGGGATATACACAGGTTGTCCCAGGAGAAACGGTCAATATTCTGGGAGGTCACAGGATCATTAATTCTAAGCAAAAAGTGTATATGTACATGTGTCCTATTCTGAACGGTTTCTGAGACAGAGCTATTTCAGTGCAGATTACACTGTACACTGCACAGATGGACAACACGCCATGTCCTCACGTGACTTGCAAACTGCATTGATGCTGATGGTGGAATTTTCGAAAATGTATTACACTACGTAGGATGTACAAACTTTTACACTTGACCAATAAGCAACGGTATTAAAACCAGTATGTATTATGTATTGTATTATCTCTTATCAGCAATTTTGGAACTGTACAGTGAAATAGCTCTATCTTGAAAACTGTTAAGAATAGCATGTATGTACATACATACTTTCTTTTGGTTAGAATGACCAATATTATGACCTCCCAGAATACTTACCTTTCCTGTTAGGACACCTTGTATATCTACAAAAACCTAAGACTTACCTGCCTACCCACCCACCAACATAACACTGACGTCTCAAAAAACTGGCATGGTTCTGAACCCACATCACATTACATCACTGTAATTTACGCTGCAATATGCTGGTTCTTTTGGTGTAACACCAACTGGATTACACACAGAACAAAATGTAGGGCTAATTACAACAAATTTCAATCAACAATTTGTGTTAGTTGGTTGAGGCACTATGCTACAAGTCGGAAGGTCGCCGGTTCGAGTCCCGATCAGGTAGAATTTACAATTTACCTAAATCTTCCAAACACACTAGAGCCCTGGAGTCGACTAAGCCTCTAACAGAAATGATAACCATGAATCTTCCTGTGGGGTAACGGGCGGCCGACGCGTAATGCTGACAACCTTACCGCCATCTGTGGCTAAAGTGTGGGAGCCTCGACGTCTCACAAATCTATGAGCCTTCACGGCGTGTTACAAGGATAGCTTTCAACTATACAGGTGTATCACAAATTACAATGCAACCTTACTGCAAATATTCAATAACATCCTTCAGATTTCCGATATTCTTGGGGTGCGTCGCAGGGAGCTTTGACAGACAGGCATCAACTTTTCGGGGAAACCAACAGGTTCCTTGGAAACGCTGGTTTCTATATATAAAACTACACAGTACTGCATTACAGAATACCGCTATCTTGTTACTTACTCCTGTGGCAACCTCAAATCGCACTGTTATCTTTCTTGAATACACCAAATTTAAAATTGCACTAAATGACATAAGCACATTCACACACCCGATGGAACCTGACGACTTTCTGCATTTAATTTCTAATAACCACCAATCACGAATTACCAGCCAGTGTCACCAACGTCACCAACAATGAGCCCCTGTTTATACACCATTTCATCATCATCATTATTATGCTCTAGCTGACATGTTATTGAACTTTGGGTTGCGTAAAATGCTATGGATTTTTTGAGAAGCTGATCAACTAATTAGTTAAGACTAAAAAAAAAGAGCTGCCTTTGCATGTGACCCAAAGAGATCTGCTTAATTTCTATTTCGTCTTCGTATTTCTTCCCATTTACGTGGCCCAACTAATTGCCAAACAGTCAGAGAGTTTCCGAACTATAGCAAAAGGGTAAGTCGCTATTCGTTCTTATACGTCTATGTTCAGAATGACTAAAGCAAATAGCATGGACGAATGGTGAACAGACGGTCGGTTTTCTAAGCCGAATACACTATGCTTATTTTAGAAAAACGAATTATGTTTTTATTCGACTGTGCTGATCATGAAGCATAAAAGTACTATCATAATATCCAGTAACGAAGTTACTTCCTTAGACCCCTTAGACTATCCGAGATACAAAATCACAAAAATCCATTCCTGTAGCAAATGCCACCAAGAGGGACAGGGATTTTTGTCTGCAGAACGTGAGAGATTCGTCAGCACCGATCACTAATATCACAAAGAATAGTAAGCGTGTGAGAGAGCGAGAGACCCGTGCCCACGAATCACTAATATCACAGAAAGTAGTACCGAGAGAAACGGATATACTTCAACCTTGAATATTACGTGTTTAGCATTGAGACGAGTTGCAGGAAAAAATGAAAAAAAAAGAAGGAGTTTTATAGGAGGCCGGAATTGGCTGAATAGGTCCAGATAGGTCGATGCATTCACAAATCCTGATGATCTGGATGTGTCAAGGGTTAAATGCAAAAGGACCAGGAAAAAGAGGATTTGGCTAGTAATAGGCGATATTCAGACATAATATGAGTATTTTCATAGCAGTAGTGGCAGCAGTGCTGTACCTGGTTTCTTTCCACAGACAAGTATGAAATGAAGTTCACACTGTAAAATGCGACTTTATGTTGAGATGAACCTACTTAACAAGCTTCATATTTAAAACCTTACTTAAACATCGAAATGTACTACAGGTATATTGCCATTCTACACACTTTCAGTTCGACGTTCCTCACACATTAGGATTATCCGTCCTCACTAGTCTTTTTCTGACGAAGGATATTAATACAGAAACCATCACTTCAGATCACCATGAAGTCTTCTTGTAATTTCGTCTTCAATCACTCTATATTCCTCTGTTGTAATCTGTGTTCAACGAATCTTCACATCATGGTCTTATATGAACAGCATTTTTTTTTTCTGAGCCCCATGTAGAAGAGGCTGAGGGTACTCCTGTGAGGTTGGAACAAACAATAATACTGAACTTCATAGCTGCACTGTTCAGAAAACTTACTGTCATCAATGTGGGATGTCGTTATATGAAGAGACAACCACTTGTTGAACTGTTCTATAATATTTATTATAAGTTGCACAGTATACACAGATGAACTTGAGTTTGAAGAACTGAAGTATAGTACCAACAATATTACTGCTTCCAACACCCACACCACACTTCTAAAAGTCAAAATCACATTGCGACTGACGGCCAGTCAGTCAGTAAGTCTTGGTGTCGAGCCCCATCTGGGGCTTATGACCAGATATTAATTATTACCATTTGACAGTTACGGTCTTATTTCTGCGAGGTGCCCTCTCTGACGAGAGGACGGCTCTGTCTTTTGTATGTGCTGCTGGCTCTTGCCAGCGACACTTCTTTATAGTCAGAGTTGCATTTCCCAAATACTGGAGAAAAAATGGGAGTACAATGAGACAGTACATCAGCTATTCATTCATAGACTTCAAGAAAGCCTATGATTCAGTTAGAAGGTAAGTATTGTACAGTATTCTGATACAGTTTGGGATACCCATGAAACTAGTTAGGCTGATTAAAATGTGTTTAAACGAAATGTGTAGTAAAGTCCATATAGGTAAACATTTGTCTGATAATTTTCCTATCCAGAATGGGCTAAAACAAGGAGATGCTTTATCGCCCCTCCTTTTAAACTTTGCTTTACAATATGCCATTAGGAAGGTCCAAGAAAACCAGGTATGCTTTATTGCCCCTCCTTTTCAACTCTGCTTTAGAATATGCCATTAGGAAGGTCCAGGAAAACCAGGTGGGACTGAAATTAAACTGTTCGTCTATGACGATGTGAATTTACTGGGGGATAATATAGATACCACAGATGTCAGCTTAGCATTCTAATTACAAAGTTAGGAATGTCAACATTAAATTTATACAAAATATTACATTTATTGTTCTTAAATTTTACTTTGACTGACAAAGATACAAAACTGAATAGGAAACATTAATTCAATACACATTTCTATAACAATAACAAGGTACTAATATTTCATTATATCAAATAATTCATATTTAAACTAATTTATTTCTGTGAGCATGGAAAAAAGAACACAAAAACTGAAACTGATAAAAACATTTATGTTCATTATATTTGCATGCAATAATACTATAATAGCCAATTCAACAATCTTCATCTGGAAGGTAAGTAGTGTGACTATGTATTAATGCTTACCATGCATTTTCTCTGTAATAAATTCAAAAATATAGACAATAAACCCCTGGATATCCGGTATCCAAGCACCCAGAATTCTCATGCAACCGGTAAAAGTTTTAAGGACAATATGCCATTTTTATAAGGCTACTTCAAAAACAAACTTTCAGTGCGCATTCATTCACTTGCTATATGGCAGCTCTCCCAAGTTGCACTAGAAATACTGCCCATTATCCACTTTCGTGCAGGTGCTATTACAGTCACAGTGACCTGTGATTACAGTAGAGGTTAGATGAATCTCTGATCATACTATAGAAAATCTGAAATCTTTCAATCATCAATCCACTATGTACTCTAATAAGGCTACAAGCAAGAACTAAATCAAAAACATTTGTTTTGAAATGAAATATGTAAGATCTGAATAGAGTGAAAATGACATGCAAATTGGGTTTGTTATATTTTGTTGCACAACCAGCAAATTCAGTAAACTGGAACACTGCAAGGCATTTACTGTGTAAGGGTAACCTAGTCAGGTAAAAAAATAAACAGATCTCAGGCAAAGAAAGAAAAGATATGTACAAAGATCATAATGTACATAAAACACCTGGTGATTTCTTCCATCATAAATGTCCATCTGGACCATGTCTATGGTTTGTGAACCTCCCCTTCAGCATATCAAATCTTCCAGTTTTCAGATATGCTAAGACCACAACATATGTATGGATTGGGTAATTAAATACAAACACATAACTAAAAAAAAAAACTTTCAATCTCTGGCAAGATTTAAATTAGAACGAATTTACCACTATATACTCTGTTGATTTCTTAGGAAAGAAATGTCTGTTTTGTTTCAAAGAAATATATTAGTTTGAGATGTTGTAAACAGATTATCTGGGGTTCAAAACACCACTCACTAAGCATAAATACCCTTAGTCGAACTAGCATTTATTACAAAGAGTATCCTTGAAGAGAAGACTGTCATTGTCTTCTCACAGACATATCCCACTTGAATACAAAAAAGTAATCAGTCAACATCATACTGCATGACTTTTATCATGCATAACTTCAATGATTTACTCTTTTCTAGCAAACATACAGGAATCAGCTGAGAAAAAGAAAAACAGGGTGGAATTTTTTGTGATTTAACTAAAGTATATGATGCCATAAATCATGACACCTTACTTTCTAAATTAGAAACATATGGAGATCATATTTGGCTTACCGGAAGCAAGTTGTTGAAATAAGTTGTGATGGCAAAAGATATATATCGGCTCCAAGAGAAATTAAATATGGAGTACCACAGGGTTCAGTGCTTGGACCATTATTATTTTTATTATACATAAATGATCTGCCTTTGAATATCAAAGAGGCGAGGATAGTTTTGTTTGCAGATGATATAAATATTTTGGTAACAGCTGTAAAGGGACATATCCTGCAGCAAAAGATAAATAAAGTCATGAATGAGTTATATGGATGGTTCAATGCAAATAATCTTATACTGAATACTGAGAAAACAATAGCAATGGCATTTCATAATAGACAAGAAAGAGATTTGATGAAACCTCAAATCAAATTTGGCAAAATGGAGTGGAAAGCACATATGATGTTCTTAAGCTCAAAACTTCATAAAGTCTGTTACATGATAAAATCCCTTAGGGATGTAACAAGCCAACAGGTTATAAGGAGTATTTACTTTGCTCATTTCCATGCTTATTTGAAGTATGGTTTAATTTTCTGGGGTAGCGACCCAAAAAGTAAAATTATATTTAAACTGCAGACGCGAATTGTTAGAATAATTAGTGGTGTGAGTAGATTAGCATAATGTAAACAACTTTTTAAGGATTTAAACTTACTTCCACTACCTTGTATGTATATATTTGGAACAGTATGCCATGTTAAACTACATTTAGAAAAGTTAGAACAAAATAACGTAGTTCATAATCACAATACACACCAGAAGTTAAATCTCCATGCTCAGTTTTGCAGAACAAATGCCTATAAGAAAGGAGTACTGAACATGGGAATAAAATTATACAATGAAATACCAAATAAAATTAGGAAAATAGAAAAGATGAGACAGTTTAAAAAAGTAATGAGGTCATATTTGGTACAACATATTTATTTTTAATTGTGGAAATTGAACTATTGTTTGTTTAATGTGTATGGAACGTGTTCCTATGACAGTGATTTGACGAGGAAGGAAGAATGGATTGGTTGATTGATTGATTGATGTGAAATGGATTGAATTGGTTACTCTGTTGGGGAATTTATGTTGTCTTAAATTTTTAATATAGTTTTATATGGTATGTTGGACAAGTACAGAATTTGTGTATGTAGTTAAATATTATAGTATTGTTGACTTTTATACAAATAATTTGACTTGTTCTATATCTGGAGGCTGTATTGCAAAATGTGGATTTCTGGAACCAATAAAAATATGAATATGATAAAATTATTTTTTCTTATCAACCAGCTACTGGTGTAATCACAACAATTTTCTACATTTGCATACTTGGGCTAAACTTCAAAACCAATTGAAAAATAAATGACATAAAGAGGTACACAGCACACATCCAAACTGAAAATAGTACTGCAATGCCATTGTCAAAGCCAACATAAACTCCTGATGTAGTATTTAGTAATCTGTGGTATTTCATTTATCGGGATTTGACTTTAGTACAAAAATGGACATAAATGAAAGAACCCCAATCATGAACAGTGAACATTAAATGTAATGAAATAATGTTATGGATATTCACTGTTTTTAAAATTCACAAAAAACTATATCACATTACAATGATAATAGCTACCAACGACATTTTGAAGACTAAAATGTGAAACAAAAAAAATCAGTGTCCTTAAAGAGACTAAACCTCCTTGCCATAACAGATAGATCATGCAACAGTTTCACAGTATTTTGGATACAGAAATATGGCAGAGAGAAAACATAAATCATATTCCAGGCGTTGGTACTACATTTGATTTTAACCAATTATGCATCAAATCAGGAAAATAAAACCAGCAACAAGAGGTTTTAATCTGCACATTTACAAATATTACGTGTAAAATGGCACATAAGACATGTAAATAATTAGCATACCATGGGTAAAGGTAACATCCCTGTGCTTAATTAATTAAGCACCATGCCATGATGACATATGGGGGAGTGGAGGTATGGGCCCATGGCCCAGCTGCTCTACCCCCTGGGAAAGAGCTCCCACTGCCCACTGATAAGGATGTAGGGTGCCGCAGAGCTGGTTTGGACGCTGGGGAGTAGAGAAAAAATTCTTTCCTCCACTGGGAATCAAACCCCAGCTGTCCAATCCACAGCTTGTCACTATACTGAGTTATCCTGGCTCAATGTCATATCCTTTACAGATGGGAATTAATATAGCAACCTAAAATATGAATATCTATAAGACACCTTACAAAATATGATGTAAAACTCGTAGAATTAGTTAACACATAACAAAGTATAATATCTATTTGAGATTCTACATTAAATACCATACGTTGTATAAAAATTAATTAAAAATGGCTTCATTACAAAATATATATTGCTCTTACTTAACAACAGTGGAATATATGAAGCTCCATAAAATGCAGAGCCATCTTTTGACCACATGTAGCAGCTTTTCTTGGCACACGCTTGCCGAGTTCACATCCAGTTATACGGTACCACATACATGGAACAAGGCTTAACTATCAGACTGTATAATGTGGAAATATGTGATTTTAAATCTTCCGGTACTATGAGGTTGACAGCCAGATTTTAACTAGAGGTTACTAGCTTATATGAAAATTGGGGATTTTAAATCTCCCACTATCATTTGGCTGGCAGACATATTTTAATTCAAAGATAATGGTATTATTATTATTTTGTTAGTTTAGTTATATGAATTAATTTGTCTTCCTCCAAGCTTACCTTTAATTAGTCTTTGACTTTATGTTGTGTTTGTCCAAGTATGTAACTACACTTTTATTTACATTGTGTTGAGTCTGTAATTGGCCTTGTGGATGTTGGATCAGCACATAAATAATAAAGAATTGAATTGAATTATTGATAACATGCAATGTGCAGACAGCTGGACCTACGCAATGCACTCCTGGTAAAAATGTTAATTCTGACAATATAGAAAATATAAGCAATATTTTTATGTGCACAAAATAAACACAGTGGGTAGTAACAGTTTCTGCTGCCAATTTCATTCCATGAAACACTCAAATTCACTCATCTATCATTCAGGGTTGATACAATGGGCCTGCTTGCAGCCCAAGTACAAAGGGATTAAATCTCACCCCACCCAAATGGAATAATGAAGATCTGTGTGGATTTAGGTACTGCTATTTTAGAGAAAATCCTATTCACTTTTATTGTCTTGACCCCAATTTTAAGACTAACAGAATTTCAGATCTGAAACCAATATTCCTCTTATTGCGAGAAGCATGTAGCATCCACCACTTGACCTCATTCATAGACAATTTCTTTAACTTTATTCAGAGCCTCCTTAATTGTTTTCTTCCAAGTTCTTCATGGTCTTCCTTTACTTCTACACCCTTTCTAATTCCAGTTCAATGCATCACTTGCGACCACCCCTTTTCCTTACCCACTGAGCACAGACCTTTTTCATCTTTCAAGTCCTAATGAATGATGGTGTGCAGTGTTCCGCGTGACAAACCTGTCACATTCTCTAGTTCATCAAAAGTGATGCGCCTGTTCTCCAGTATCAAGTCGGACATGCGCTGGGTACTGTTTGGTATGCATGCTGTTGCTGGATGCCCACTGCTTTTGCCTTTTGCCACACAGTCCTTGCTGTCTTTGAACTCTGCTATCCAGTGAAACACGGTTCTGCCACTTGGTGCTGCTTCCCCACACACGGCTGCTGACCTTGTGTGAATGTGTGAAGCAGCCACTCCTTCCCTCCAGAGAAACCACACAGTCCACTGTTCCCCATGATTGTCTGCTTCCATGTTGTCTGAGCGTTGTCCACGATTGCACCTGCACACCCCCATGAATGACGCAGCACTGTTCGACCTGTGTGCAGTAGCAACATCATCTCGTGGCCATAGGCGGCACTACAGTATGTCTTCCCACATACACCGGCTCGCACTTGACACTGCTATTTTTCTGGAGTTATGGAGGGAGTGTCAATCATTTCTGAACGACCTAAATAGCATACTCTTGTCTTAATCACATCCTTCTGATTGCCACTGCTTCTTCCTGTCCTGCTTTGTTTCAAAGCTCTTGGTTGGAGATCACTTTTGGACATCTTATATTTAGATTTCTTCTCAAGCAATGAACGGTTTAAAATTTGTTTGTAATTTATGGTCAAGAATGTGACGACTTCCATGTTTCTGAGGTAAAAGGACAGCTTTACCATTACTATTAACAAATCAGTTCATTTTAATGAATAGACTGAAATGTGTTATGGTCAAGAATGTGACGACTTCCATGTTTCTGAGGTAAAAGGACAGCTTTACCATTACTATTAACAAATCAGTTCATTTTAATGAATAGACTGAAATGTGTTTTAATAAATAGGAATTAAAGAATAATATGTTTAAAATGCTAAATAAATCTAAATTACTTCCACATGTTTATAATTCACTTAATCTAGACAATTTCTGAAATTAGTTGGTAAACACTGGTTTGCCTTAAGAAGTCTGTTGATTTTCATCCAGAGAGCTGGTTAAACGTGCTTGTCTTCTGACAGTTACTTGCTGGTGCAGAAACTATGCATTAAATATGTATGGGGGGGAAAACCCTGTTTGCGAGTATGATGTTATAATTTAGCTAAAACTAGCTCAGGTGATCTGCCATATCAACAGTGAGTTAAAAGCAACCAGTTCATAGATCACCTCCATTTCAATCAATATGGTTGATGGCAAACCTGATGATGGAGGAAAACTCTGTAGCATTGGTTTTTAACTCAATATTAACATGGCTGATCAACCCATGAGATTTCAGTGTATTTATTCACCACAAAAGCTTCAACTCTTCCAGTACAACTCTGAACATTTAGCTACTTCTACCAATTTCACATACAAATTAAAACTGAACACTTGCTGAGACCACACAGCATATAAATCTCTGTGAAACAACCACTATGACTGTCAGGAAAGAAACTCTTAAAACTTAACACACTTAAAATACTTACTTTCCTTCAAATGCTTCAATATACATACAGTATATAGTGTGCAGTAAGAACCACAAATTAATAATCATGTAAATTAGTCATCTACTATTGTGCATACTTTCTACTACTGTCAATTTTGACTACATTAAATTTGTCAGGTCAATCATCAGTTTCACAGCATCACCACATCTGTAATTCCTCACATATAAAAACTGGCCCATACATAAACTGTAGATATATAATGGCCTATTTCTATACAAAATTTTGCATGCTGAGCATCAGTTAGTTCACTGGTTACTGCCATCAAACCAAAAGCTAAATATAGGTTTCATATGACTTTCATATTATTAGTTTGCATTCTACATAAATATTACCTCAATAAAATGCAAATGATTCAAATGTTTACAAGAGTTCTATCTTCTGGGATATAATTCTGTGTAGTCTGTTGAAAGTCAACTAACATTTTGGAAGAACATATCACCTCCGTCTTCCTCCGTAACATCAGTTGACTTTCAATGGACTACAGTGTTACATCCCAGAAGACGGAATTCTTCACAAATACTGTTGTGAGAACCTCAAACCCTATATATGTGATCTGACAATAAAGTTTGCAAACTCATCAAGGTTAAATTTCTACATACTTCACTGCTGAATATCACTTTGGTTGCCTTCAAAGTACCCCCTTGGGATGCTATGCACTGATGACAAAGCCCAGTCCACCATTCAAAACAATTTTGAAATTGGTTTTGTGGAATGGCCTTCATCAGTTTACACCTGATGTCAAAAGTGTCATCAGAATACCTTCCTTTCAACATTTCCTTTATCTTTGGGAGCACAAAAGTCATTGGGGGCTAGATCCTGTGAATAGGGAGGATGCTCCAGCATATTTGTTTACTAGCTAAAAACTCCTTTGGGACCATTTTTGAACACATGTTCCTCATGTCAAGATCTTCAGTTAAGATTTTCCTAACTGTTTCTCTGTCAATGTTCACTTGCTCTGCTGCGGTCCTGACAGCCACGATTTTCACGCAAAATCTGATGAACTTTTACAATGTTTTCTTCAGTTGTGCTCATTGATGGACGTCCTGATCTCTCTTCGTCAGTGACACTTTCTCTTCCCTCAGAAGAACTTGTAAACTGCTGTTTTCTTCATAGCATTATCCCCATAAACTTGCACTAACATCTCTCTGAATTTGCTTCCACTCTTGCCAAGTTTACGAAATTTAATTCAAGCTCCGACATTCTTAGAGTGGCACACCGACACACAATCAGACAATAACAGACGCCACTCAGAAAGAGACTGCCGTAGATCAACAACACAGCTGTGAAATGCTGATATGCCAACATCATCAAACTATATTGAGATTTCTGTCCACTGCCGCCATGGCAAGCACATGGTGGCGAGCTTGCAAACTTTATTGTCAGACCACATATTCAAATATTTGTCACCACAGAAAAATTTCAGGACTTACTCTTTTCATACATTTTCATGGCTGTCATGGTGTATCTTTTACAGCAAAGAAATATGAAGTGCAAAGGTGAGATAAGTATCAATGGCTTAGTGTACATACAGTTTCATGAAGAATTTGCTAACTGGCTCAAACACATTCAAGAAAGATATCTTTTCACTGGAAGCAAACTCAGCAATGTCCTATGTTGTATAAATGCCATGGGAGCTAACAACAAACAACATTCTAAGAACTGGAAGAAACAGCAGCAGATAAACTATCAGAGATATTTACATTATGTGTGGTTTTTTCCAGAAGATCACAATGTAAATTTTCACTGTCCTGAAAATTTCAAATCTAGTAGAGCAGACACATGTTAGTGTTAAGTGAATAATGCAGTAAGGTTAATTGAACAGAATGATTAGATTCTTTTGCTGAATTTGGTAACCTGTGATTGGAACAAGCATGGTTGGAACAGATTCCTTACGAATATGAATGTTAAATTACAACCTAATAAATCATCTCTCCACTGGAAAATCAGAATCAAAATACCCAAAGATTCTGAGCAATGTTAATATCCTGACTGCTTATTCTTGTATCTCAAACCTCTGCTCTTCCTGACATGCAATATAATTAAAATTACAAGGCTCTTGTGCCTTCTAATTCAATGAAATCTTATTTGAAATTTAAATACCAAAAAAACCTAGGGGGACAGCACCAAACATTGTTTTAAATTGAATGGGCAAAGTGCCAATGACAAAAAGGAAGAATAAGCTATACATAATGTGAAAACAAAACAAGTCATGGAATTAATGGGTTTTTTTACTTTTTCCATTGTCCTGTATTCTAGAGAACAGAAAACGCGACATTTTGGAAACAGATCCAGTTTCTGAAACACTGTTTCTTCTATTCTCCAGAATACTGGACAATAGAAAGTCCCAAAATCCAGTAATACTGTGTTATATAATTTCATCAGAACCCTTTATAATACAAATTATGCTTTACTTATTCTTTTGTGGTACATGGATGGAAATCATGTTAACAATTTCTCCAAAATAAATGATTAATGTAGTAGACAAATATAAAAAGAAGAAAATCTGGGTCACTGGGTTAAGAACACAGTGAAGCATTAAGTTCTGATTTCTTTGTGTAACTATAAAGCATGCCTCAAAAGAAAAACTGTGATTACAAACATATGAAGTATAAAGTTACAGTTTCTTCAGCAGTAAATTCTTTGTATTACACAAGTTACCACAGTCCATGCACCACCATATGACAAGACATTAGGGATAGGAGTTGGAGCCATTCCTCACAAACTTACTTACTTACTTAACTCATGGAGCTGAGCCCTTCTGGAGGAGTTGCCAATTCTGCAGCTACTCAAGAATTTCCCAGCATTTTATGGGACCTGAAGGTTCATTACCATGTTCACAAGAGCCCTCCACTCGTCCCTATCCAGAGCCAGATCTATCCAATTCATACCATCCCATCCTATCTGAGATCCATTATAATATTGTCCACCAACCTACGCCTTGGTCTTCCCTGTGGTCTCTTTCCTTCTGGCTTTCCCTATACACATTCGTCTCCCCCATTCGTGCCTTCCTCGCAAACACCTCAACAAAACTTCCAAGTACATCTGGACACATATTCAAAAGGACTAAGGCTAAGCAACTAAGGCTGTAAAGAAAATATGGAGTGTAGTAACAGAGGATACTCATTTTTGCTCTATATGAGTGTGATGACAGACATTGTATGTCAACTGGACAATTGAACAAATATTGTCTTAATGGCGCTGAGATATGCTTGTAAAAGCAAGGGGTCTATATAATCAAAAATACTGAAATATTTTTAAATCTAGTTATGAACATAACAGTTTTGCAGTTATAATTCTACTTTGGAAATATGCTTACTGTTGACTGCGAGAATATTTTATTAGTTTTGGTTAAGGTGACAACCACTGCTCTTTCAAAAAACTGGAATTAGAATTTTCAAGTTTTGGCAATGGTGAGACAATAAAGATGTTCCACTAGCCAAAACGTGTATGTCAAAACATGATGAAAGTGTAATACAATCAGAAACTTATGAACTATGTTTTGGAGCTACATAGTACAAAAGGATACAGAGTAAGCAACTGCGAATTCTGCATTCTTGTAACAGATCATCTCAGTTCTGCACCAATCAATGGCAATAGTCATGATTTTACAGCCAAAAGACTAAGACATGTAAGGTCACTTTTCTAGGTAACTTTGTATGACACCAACATGAAGAAGAGACTAAGCACACCTGTTATATTAGATTCCCATTTATATACCAATTAAACAAATCTGAGTGACATTATAAAAGAATTATTTCCTGTATTCTTCTGACTGCTGCTACAAGAGATATTTAAAATATTTAACATGTCATGTGTACAAGTGACTATAAAAGG